CTCCCGGGCAACATCATGGATTATTCGGCGGCGGCGACTGGGCAATATCGCATCATAACACTCGCTAACCTGCTTTTGTTTTCATGTTCAAACAGTTGCGGGGCATGCACCTCAGCAGTTGAAGCGGGCTTCAAAGGTGTCGCTGGTATTGGCAGCGTCTCCGTCAGTTTGGTAATGGAGCGCGCTGTTGTTATGCACGATCCTCAAACTGTCTCTGCCGACCAAGTCCGAGAGATCATCGAGGACAGAGGCTTTGACGCCGAGGTTCTGTCCACAGATCTCCAAAGCCCTGTAGCCAGCCGGTTCACCGAGCAGAAGGGCAGTGTAAACGACTCCGGTTTTGTAACCACCACAGTTGCTGTAGAAGGAATGACTTGCGGCGCTTGCACATCTGCAGTTGAAGGCGGTTTTAAAGACGTTCCCGGTGTTAAAAACTTTAGCATATCGTTGCTGTCCGAAAGAGCAGTAATTGAGCACGATCCCGCCCTTTTAACCCCTGAACAAATCGCAGAAATCATCGAGGACCGCGGTTTCGGGGCAGAGGTTCTAGACACGACGAAATCAATGCGCGAGGCCGGGAGCGATGAAGCGGGTGCTTCGCAAAGTGATATTGCAACGACAACGGTGGCCATCGAAGGCATGACATGCGGTGCTTGCACAGCGGCCGTTGAAGGGGGTTTTAAAGGCGTTGAGGGCGTTTTGAAATTCAACATCAGCTTACTGGCAGAGCGTGCCGTCATCACCCACAATGTGTCCAAAATTTCCCCTGAGCAAATTGCAGAGAGGATTGAAGACCGCGGGTTCGATGCCACGGTTCTCTCGACCCAGTTCGAATCCAGCGACCTTGGACCACTGGCGTCAACAGCTCAGTTTAGGATCTATGGCAACCTCGATGCCGCCGCCGCCCAAGCGCTAGAGACTAAGCTCAAGTCCACCCCTGGCATAAGATCAGCCACGGTGAGTCTTTCCACGGAAAGACTCACAGTGACCCATCAACCGGGTATTATTGGCCTTCGGGGGATTGTCGAGGCTGTGGAGCAAGAAGGCCTGAATGCCTTGGTTGCTGATAGCCAGGACAACAATGCACAGCTTGAATCTTTAGCCAAGACGCGAGAGATCACTGAATGGCGCACCGCGTTCAGAACGTCGGTGACTTTTGCGATTCCAGTCTTCATCATTGGCATGATATTGCCAATGGCTTTACCTTCCCTTGACTTTGGCAAGCTCTTGTTGATGCCCGGTCTCTATCTTGGAGATGTCATATGTCTTGTTCTTACGATACCCGTCCAATTTGGCATTGGCAAGCGATTTTACGTGTCAGCATACAAGTCAATCAAACATGGATCCCCAACCATGGACGTTCTTGTCATCCTGGGCACTTCCTGTGCTTTCTTTTTCAGCGTCTTTGCAATGGTTGTTTCAATACTGATCCCTCCTCATACGAGGCCAAGCACGATTTTTGACACCAGCACGATGCTGATTACCTTTATTACTCTTGGCCGATTTTTGGAGAATCAAGCCAAAGGACAAACGTCCAAGGCATTGTCTCGCCTCATGTCTCTGGCACCCTCCATGGCCACAATTTACGCAGATCCCATTGCCGTTGAGAAAGAGGCAGAGGCTTGGGCTAAATCTGCAGAGGAGGTCAAAACTCCCAAAACCCCTCAAGGACCACCAGAACTTGGCGGATCGTCTGCCTATGAGGAGAAGTTGATCCCCACAGAACTGCTCCAGGTTGGCGATATTGTCATTATTCGACCTGGCGATAAGATCCCGGCAGATGGCTCGTTGGTCCGTGGTGAAACTTATGTTGATGAGAGCATGGTTACCGGAGAAGCAATGCCAGTTCAGAAACGTCTCGGAGCCAACGTGATTGGAGGAACCGTTAATGGCAATGGTCGCTTCGACTTCCGAGTCACCCGTGCTGGCCGAGATACCCAGCTGAGCCAAATTGTGAAGCTCGTCCAAGATGCGCAGACCACGCGAGCTCCAATCCAGCAGCTGGCCGATACTTTGGCAGGCTATTTTGTGCCCACCATCCTTATTCTTGCGCTCCTCACCTTCATGTCATGGATGGTTCTGAGCCACGTGCTGACGAATCCACCAAAGATTTTCTTGCAAGATGCCAGTGGCGGCAAGATCATGGTGTGCGTGAAGTTGTGTATCTCGGTCATCGTCTTTGCCTGCCCCTGCGCTCTCGGTCTTGCCACACCCACTGCTGTCATGGTAGGCACTGGCGTCGGGGCTGAAAATGGCATACTGATTAAAGGAGGCGGCGCCTTGCAGAGAACAACAAAGGTGACTCAGGTCGTCCTCGACAAGACGGGAACTATCACACACGGCAAGATGAGCGTTGCTAAGTCTACACTTGTGCCTCTTTGGAGAGACAACGAGTGGCGGAGGCGTCTATGGTGGACAATTATCGGGCTTTCGGAAATGGGGAGTGAGCATCCTGTCGGCAAGGCTATTCTCGGGGCTGCAAAGGAAGAGCTAGGTATAGACCCGGAGGGCGCTATTCAAGGTAGCGTCGGGGAATTCAAGATCAAGGTCGGCCGAGGTGTCAAGGCCCTGGTCGAGCCAGCTTCATCAGCCGAGAGGGTTCGGTACAGAGTCCTCGCTGGTAATGTCAAGTATCTCGAGGAGAACGGTGTTGAGGTTCCAAGCGAGGCTATTGACGCTTCCGAAGCGATCAATGCTGCTTCTTCCAAGAGGACTCTATCGAAATCCTCGTCCGCCGGGACTACCAACATCTTTGTGGCCGTGGATGGTAAATACACAGGACACCTCTGCCTGGCAGACGTCATCAAGGAGGGAGCCGCAGGTGCCATTTCAGTTTTGCATCAAATGGGTATCAAGACGGCCATTGTAACCGGTGACCAGCGTTCAACAGCACTTGCGGTGGCAGCTGCGGTTGGAATCTCGGCCGACAACGTATACGCCGGAGTCTCCCCCGACCAGAAGCAGTCCATTATTAAGCAGATACAATCCCAGGGAGAGATTGTGGCCATGGTAGGAGATGGCATCAACGACTCCCCCGCTCTGGCTACGGCTGACGTGGGCATTGCCATGTCGAGTGGTACCGACGTCGCGATGGAAGCCGCGGATGTGGTACTCATGAGACCTACGGACTTGATGAGTATTCCGGCTGCGCTTCACTTGACAAGGACCATCTTCTGGAGAATCAAGCTGAACCTTGCGTGGGCCTGTATATATAACGTCGTTGGTCTACCGGTGGCTATGGGCATGTTCCTGCCGGTTGGACTCCACATGCATCCAATGATGGCTGGATTCGCCATGGCATGCAGCAGCGTCAGCGTGGTGGTCAGCAGCTTGCTTCTCAAGTTTTGGAAGCGACCACAATGGATGAAGGACGCGGAAGCGGAGCAAACGGGTGGTCTTCGATGGGCGAGCGGAAGGGGTGTGCTGGGCTGGGTGAGAGAGATGCTTGGCCGGAGACGCCGGAAGGGCGAAGTGGGATATGTACCGTTACAAAATCTGGAGGCGGAGCATGCATAATGGTGGTTGAGCGTTACTTTGTCTTTGTTTGTACATTTGCGTTTTGACGACGTCTCGGATGGGTGGCGTTCATGTTGTGGCATGTTTGAGGGAAGGCACACACAGATAGAAAGAGGTAATTGGTGTGGTTGTCGTCGTCCGATGTGACTGGATGATTTATTTTGTATGTATGTTGCTAGAGTGCACATTCCGCCAGCAAGCCTCGATTTAACAAGCTGCCAGTATTATACCCAATGCTTCCTTCCACGATTTTCCAACATGGGTATGCCGCCGCGCCGATCCATCGTTTCGTAGCCGCTCGTGGGAGCCACGGGCTCGCTGTCCCTTGCGTGCATGATGTCTGGGCTGGTATCAAGCCGCGACTGTGAGTGACCCTGTCTGCGGGCGAAGAGCTGAGCTCCCTTGGCTATTTGTTCATTCCAAACAGAACGTTGCCAACGTCTTCGGGGCCACCCTTGTGGTCGAACCGGGCTCTTATTTCCCATATCCCCGGCTGCGAGAAAGGGGGGAGGGGGGTGTTTCCCTAGCCATGTGGCCGGCCTGTACGAAACATCCAGTAGATGAAGACCTACGCCACAGTGGCCCAGTATTTTAGGTTGCGGCTTTAGCTTATGTAGGTACATGCTCTCTGCAGCCAGTAATATGGTGCAAATGCTTGGCCCAGTGTTGAATTTCTTGGTTCAATCTCCGGTCCTTAATCCCGGTGACTTCCGGCACACCGCGGCCACTCGGTATGCGTCGCGAACAATGAACTTGGGTCAGAACTCATTGCGTGATCCTGTCATTTGGGGCTTCCCCCTCGTCCTGGCAGATGAGCGCTAGTGGACATGGTCGACGGGCCTCGAGTGGGAAGAACCTTGTCTTGTCTTGTTATGCGCGTATGTATTCTGTGTGGCAGAAACTCTGAGGCCTCACGCCCTCAAGTGCTGCGTGTCTTTATCTCGGTAGGGAATCTGATTTTGGAGTCGCGTGCTTGTGGAAAACGCATGGCGTGCTGGGCTGGGCGTTGCCGTCATGTTGTACATATTATCTGGTCAATACTTCACTTGCACTGTTTGTTGTGTGTACATGATCTTCTCGCAGTGGTGACAATGACCTGGGCAGTATAATAGTGCCCGGGGTGTCAGTCTGGGTCTATACAAATGCTAATACTACACACATGCTACTTACTGTATTTTGCATTCCGTGCCCGCTGTGTTAGTTGCCGCTGGAAAGGTCAATGGAATCATGACTCTTGTAAATGCGACTTGCGGCTGCCAATGAAGGAGATTACAACATCGCCGTTTTTTGTTTTCTTTGGCATGGACCAACAGATAGCCAGTCATAATAGTATACAAATTGCCCAAACGCCCAAGGAGCACAAAGCCCAAGGCACAACGCATGTCTACAGGGGGTGGCTTGCACCATGCCAAAAGGGCAAGACAACCAGCCCAAGTCCATTACTCTACAAACTTTTCTGACTCTGGTACTGACTCGCTTTTCCATCAAGTGTGTATGTACTCGTCCTCTTGAATCCCCGTGTCCTGCTGGCCCCAGAAGAGAAAGTCTTCATGATCGCCACACATGTCTTTCCAAGGAATAAACCTCCCGCCAACCTCTTCGTCTGACCAGGCGCCTCCGTATTCGCCCACTAATTCCTCGTCCCTGGGATAAACAGATTTGGCCACCCACCTCCGTCCATCTATCACATTGGGAGAGATGATATCCTCCTTTTGAGACGACCGAACAGACTCCCTGAGAAGAATTGGGACAAACGGATAGAACCACATCTTGCGGAACTCTGAATCAATAGAGTCTTTGGGCCCTGTGCAATGCCAGGTCCCGTAAATTTGTTTTGTTACAAAGTTTGTGGCAAGGCGCACTTCTCGCACCCAATTTTCTGCTGGCGCACCGGCGAGTGTCTTGGGAATAGAATTGTACAGTTTCATCAACGCCATTCGAACGTTGTTTGGCATCTGGACTGTGTATGGCACGAATTTCCTCCCCTGCTCAAACATGTCAACGTGTACTCGACTTGTGTAGGACGCGTTATTGTACTCGAGGTAGCCCAAAAACGGATCGTTTCCTGCCTGAGGCTGGAAGAGAGCTGAATCGTATTCGATAGCTATATGAAGCTCCGTCTCTTGTGATTCTGATATCTTCTCGGGAAGTATGCGATTCGGCGGCCCTCCCTTTACCTCTGACCCGTTAGCAATTTGCTTCGATCGCGAATATTCCTGCCGAGCCCAAACGTTGGCCAGATAATACTGGTCAGACTCGGAGTGCCGGAAGTAGGCATTGTGTGTCGCCGCAATCTCGTCCATGGTAGCATCTATCACTTTTCTCATGTCATCGATAGGACCCATGACGGTACCAGAGTTGAGCCAGCGGGGGTCTTTGGCGAATATGTCATGCGGCCCCTTATCTGTGCCGAAAGCATTCTCTCTTAGAAACGAGGGCGGGACAGCCCAGCAACGTCCAGCTGCCGGATCCTGTGGCCAGCAAATCTTGTCCGGGCCCCAAAAGACAGTTTGCTTCATGCCTCTTTCATGGAGTTCTGTGACGGAGATGCCCATTCGTTTCGCTAGGTGAATGTCGGCCTTTTGCGCTACATCAAAGTAGCGTTCAACCATGACCTCGACCGGGAGTTGTTGTATAATGTCGTATCCATCAACCATTATGACAAGATCGTCATCTTCTTCTGGATCAAGAGAATCCAAATATCGCTTCATGGTACGTAATTTGGCGAGGTGTGTTTGGGCAGCATCAAGCTCCCCCTGACCATTCCAGCCTAGAAGCGTGGGAACTGGATATCTGTTGACTGCCGCCGAGACCAAATTGTAGCAAAGACGAAGGTTTGAGACACTTGCTGGGACCAGGAAGTGTAATCGAGATGTTTTCTCTGGGCCATTCGACTTATTCGGAGGGCGAATGATGTTCATAAATCGACTCTGAATTTGATCTTGTCAGCGTATTTTACCCCATGAGCCAGTCCAAGTGGCATCCTCACCGTGTCGAGGTGCCCCGATGTATACAAGAGAGCTGCTAGAACCAAGGCCACGCCGACTGCCAGCACAATTTTACGCCGCATCAAAACAACCGGCATCATGTCGTCGACTATAAGGACGCATTAGGTGGTTGAAGCATGGGGAAAGAGTACATATACTGGGTGATGACGTGACAAGAAGCTGGCGCAAACGAAGTCCTGCATACACGAGGTTGGAGGAACCGCAGCACCAGCTGCAATCTGAAGTTATGCAATGCTTGGGTTCTTGAAGGAACAAACGGTTTATCGATTAGATGTGTGAATGATTGGTCATCCTCCTAATGGTGGAAGAGGTGGGCGACCCAGGAGAGAGAGTCAGAGGCGTAGGGATAACCCAGCGACAAGTTCGTCCCATGAGACTATGTTGGAGTGTTATTAGGATGACGCAGACGCTTCCATATGGGTAAGTACATATTAGGGAGCCGGTCGATGAGATACGCAGTACGTCCCCCAAGGCCGAGCCAGCATCCCTTCAGATCCAGTGGCAGGAGCTTTTCTTCACGCTTCCAGTCCCAGGCGCATTGGCTGACTGGAGAGGTTCACAATATTTGTAGCAGGTTCATGGCTTTGCCACTTTGAACTCTCCTTTGGCCACACTTGACCTGCCGTAAAGTCCTCATGTCCGGGGTCCGGGGTCCGGGGCCTTTCGCCAAAGTCCGTGGTATTGCAGGTCGGCGCAGGGTTGTATCGACCAGACATGATAACGACCCGCAGGGGACACATGTACAACAAGGCGTGCGGAGGGCTCTCGTCTCGTGGGGACCTGGGGCCGAGTCATTGGAGATAGACCGGCATTTAACATTATAGTGCGGCCCTGGATGATTATGATAAACATGTCCAGTCAATGCTGTAAAAGAATGGCGGACCTCGTGGCGATGGCCGGCCCTGGCTCCCCATTCTCCATCACCGTGGATCTGTCTAAAATTTAGTGAAGAAAATGGGCCATAGAGAACTTTGAAGTTCCAATGGGACACTGGCGCCCATCCCCAGAGTGTCCAGTGTTTCTGTTTGAGGCCGGCGCTGGTGCGACGATTGACGAGCCACCTCGGGCAAGTTTGCTGTTTGATCTCACAAAACCTGCCTCACCACCAAGACCCCTTCTATCTCTTTGTTCTTCAGGGAAAATCGTACTGCTACCTACCCACATCAGTAAGATGGTGCGCGATGAAGATATGGGGCCTTTCACAGTATCAGCTGCGCCTTTCTCAGCATCATATTGTATAATACATACCTAGGTAGTCGCAAGAGCCGATCCTTGACGTTTAGCCACCCACCTGTTGTGATGAGAGGCTATGGCTGAACTATCTACACGTAGGTAATAAATCGTTCACTGCTGGGTGAATAATATCCAGCTTTTGTTGGCTTAATTGTATTCAGTGTTGTAATATTTCCGGTACTTGCCATTGCGGGTGTCGAGATTGACGAGGCAAGGTAGTACAATATGGTTCGTGTCTCCTCCGCGGCGCTGATCGACTTTCGATGCAGCGTCGTTGAATCAAGCGATATGGGTGCGCCTGGGACTGAGTTGTTAGACGACGACCTGCAACAATAGTAGTATCTATTTCATATAGAGCCTGGTTCCTGTTTGAAATGTCCTGTAGGTTCCGCACTGCGGGATATTGCAAAGACATCCGGTTCGTGGCGAAATATTTGGTTGTTGGTTGTGGATTGAGGAAGCCCTGTTCTCACGATACTGCGTTGCTACACCGTACCCCCGTCGCCAAGCAGTCTCTGATGCTTCACTCTCTGAAATGGCAGGGGGAAGGGGGCATTTTTCATTTTCTTGGCATTTGGGAAACCTCCCACAGAATCTGCACAAACTGTGTCGGCTGTCGCGGCTCCTTGTACGTGATACCTGGTATTATCCATTCGCCAAGCGCCAACATTCTGCCTCGAGTCCCTGACTCCCAAGCCCCGTACTCCGAATCCTACAGATAACAGGCGGATAGAGAGACAGACGCCGTTTGTAGTTGTACTTGTACGAGGTCTGCAAACATGCCAAGACACCAGCCTTCGATGCAGAACCTATCGCATTGAATTCGGGACGACGCAAGACACGGCCTCATCATGGCCGTCTTGGCGAACAACTTGGCGCGTACATGTGCACCAGACAAAACACCACAGCCGACTCCGAACCCCGTCGGGTCATGGATAAAACAGTTTCAGCAGTGCCAGTGAGGCTCCAGTCACCCCGGGAGCGGTTAACGATTAAGGTTTTGGTCATTTCGCTGTCCAATTTATGGCTTTATTGCGATATCTCGACACTCCATGTTTTGTTGTAGGTGGCATTGTGACTAGTATCTTATGCGGAGTTGTTAATTTGTGCGGTACGTCTCCACCACACCAGACGAGCATGTTGATATGATGCTATTTTACACACGGGGCGCGAAGTGTTCGCTCCTTATGCCCCAAATCTGTTGAGCTTCTGGGAAGAAATGATGGCCATATTTACTGTGGTACAAGTGAGACGGAGCAATGAGTGGTTCGTCGTCCTCACTCCGTACCGCACATGGCATAACCTGGCTTGCGTGATATACACACATGGCTCAACGGGCTTTGGGATTTCTTTGCAAGGATAAGAAGGGAGAGAGGCAGTCTAATACTAAGCTTACCAAGAGCCAGGTGGAGAGGGACGCTTGGGCTTGGACGAGAAGGGCAGTCAAACAGCATGCCGCCCTTGCGGAGAGCCCTATCCCTTTTAACTCCCTCCACATTACGGAGTACCAGCGATGCTGATTGTTGTTAGAGCTGAATACCTAGCACTCGCCATGGACAACTGATTACCTGCAAGTACAAGCAGTAACAGAGACGAGAGGCTGGTTGATGTTCTCTTTGACTGTTTGCAAGCAAAATCGATGTGTATTCTCGTTCCAAGTCGAAGCAGGGCCGCTTATTTTCCGCTGTCAGCCAAATGCGGTATGTATAGGCACATCAAACACCATGGTGGCACTGGGTCTCTCGATTGCTGGCGTGCTTGTTGATTGCTAGTTAGTTGGTACTCGTACGTAATACTGAACCTTAGGAAGCTGGCCTGGCGACCTCGGCGGCAACCTCAAAAAAAAAAAAGGGTATAAACGAATTTCGGTTTGTTCCTTTGATCGTTTGTCTTTTCGTAGTTGACCGATGTGTCGTGCATCTTTGGAGTTGCCTTGGCTACCCCCTGTACTTGCCCGGTCTACAGAACTTTGCAGCTGAACTGTTAAATCCAAGCTGGTGGAATTGTGGTCTCGTGTTGTTTCCAACACAGAGTCAACCAAATCGTTTTATCGAGTCGTGCTATTATGCAGTTTGCCTGTACTCCGGCTCCTGTGGTAGCCCAAACGAGGATGACGTGGTCTCTTGACTGCCGTTCGAGTCCACCGTCGTGACAATGTCGGAATGTATTTCGTCTCTTCGTTTCTTGGTCTTTTCCGTCGGAGGCGCCCCTTGCAAGTTGCACCACTGAGTGTCTGAAGATTGAAGGTTTACAAGCTCCATGTCAGCTGCCAAGACCGGGCGGGCCTTCGGCGCCAGTTAATATGAACTAATAACTGGTGGATAATTTAGCTGACACCTGGCTGGACTTGGCTGGCACCTCGCCCTAACGTGCAGTTTGTAAGTGGTCTGGTGCCGCCCCCTGGAACCTGCCCCAGTGCCTCCAGCGCTCCTTCCCAGCTGGCCACGCAAACTGCTGCATCGCACCCCCTTCTCCGCCTCTCGCGCACTCGTACCCACTCCGCTCCGGGATTGGGCTCAGCATAGCATCAGTTAGCGGGTTTGGTAGGCCATCACCAAGCATTGGCGTTCGTAAAGACAGCCAGATTTGAAGATTGAATGACCATTAGTGCCACACCCCCTCTAACAATGACCACTACACATGCGCGCGATACCCATCCCGCTGTGCTGCCATCTCTGCCTATTTGTGACCAGACTTTCAGCCATGTCCACTTGAGCGCTCAAGCGCTCGGGTAAAGCCACTGCACCTTGTCACCGCATACAGCTGGGTTTCCTACCAGTTGACCACTTCTCTTCTTTACCTCCTCCTGGCCGCGCAATCACCCTCGTTTCTTTTCTTTCTTTGCCCACTAGGCCTGTTGTGCCATTGATTCGGTTTTTCTTTGTGGGAGTCTCTGCTCCGGTCTCCCTCTACGCTCTCTACCTTATTCTGTGATTGTTGCGCTCCTGGTTTTACTTTTCTTGTTGGTCTATCTATTTCGCTGGTTCTACTCCTGCCTTAGAAGTGCCCCAGTTGACGGCCGCTGTATCCCTGGATCCGAAACTTGCTGCGCCACGACATTCCGATCTATCGCTTCTTATACTCTTCTTCGAAGGGCCATACCATTGATTGACTTTCAGATTGGGCTGCAATCTTATTCCAGGCTGGCGCCGAATATACTATGCTCCCGCCATCATAACACAATTCGCAAATTTGGCAGCCGAAGGCCCTGGTCCACTCATCGCCTTCGACTACCATCACCTATCGAATTTTCTTATTTACCCAAACGAAATTAAAGCATCATGTCACAGAGGAATAGCGACGAACCTGTTCGCCTCCTCTCACAAGGAGAGAACGATGACTCCAAGCGTTCGAGCCAGGAAGACGTCGAAGCCAGTGCAGGACGTTCAGAGACATCGCGGGACCAGAACTTGGATCACGAATACTCAATTCCCAGCACAATCAAGTTTACATGGCTGGGGACGTACTTCTTCTTTTCTTTGCTTCTGACTCTCTATAACAAGCTAGTGTTGGGCATGGTGAGTTTCATTTCTATTTCTTTTATTGCTCTTGTGCTTTGGCACTTACATGTTGCTTGACCTGTGTGCTAACGACTGATGGCTCAAACTTGCAGTTCCATTTCCCATGGCTACTTACATGTCTCCACGCCTCCTTTGCCAGCATGGGAACCTATGCCATGTTGCAGCTGGGCTATTTCAAACTATCGCGCCTGGGACGCCGCGAAAACTTAGCTCTCGTCGCTTTTAGCGCATTATTTACCGCCAACATTGCCGTGTCCAACTTGTCTCTCGCTATGGTATCCGTTCCGTTTTACCAAACAATGCGCATGCTGTGCCCCATCTTCACCATCCTCATTTATCGCACCTGGTATGGTCGTACTTATAGCTACATGACGTACCTTTCTCTCGTACCGTTAATCATTGGCGCCGCCATGACAACGGCCGGCGAGATGACATTCACCGATGCCGGCTTCCTCCTGACCATATTGGGAGTGATTTTGGCTGCTGTCAAGGTATGTCACCTAAATGTTCCACAGCAGCAGGCTCCCTTACAGCTAACTGAAAACCTAGACCGTTGTGACGAACCGATTCATGACTGGCTCCTTGGCATTGCCTCCGGTAGAATTTCTCATGCGTATGTCACCCTTGGCTGCATTGCAAGCCCTGGCGTGTGCTACTGCGACAGGAGAAGTTGGTGGCTTCCGAGAACTTGTAACCTCTGGAGATATTTCTCTACCGACCTCGATCGCATCGCTAACAGGAAATGGTTTCCTTGCATTCCTCCTCAACATTTCCTCATTCAATACCAACAAGCTTGCCGGTGCTCTGACAATGACGGTGTGCGGCAACCTGAAGCAGTGTCTTACCGTCTTGATTGGAATCTTTCTCTTTAATGTCAGCGTCGATCTGCTGAATGGGGCAGGCATGGCTGTCACAATGGTTGGCGCTGGCATCTACAGCAAGGCCGAACTGGACAATAAGAAGAGGAAGCAACAACCGCAATATATACCTGTCGGCCAAAATCCCAGGTAGTGCGAAGTGCTATGTTCTTGTTTGAAGATACCCAGTTGATTCAATGTTTCTTTTTAGATGACCGAAACCGCCGACAGGAAGAGGTGAGATTTGGGCATGGGGAAGGAGTGGACAAGAGTGATCCACCCCCATCATAGCATATATTCTTGCTCTGACGAGGCGAGCACGTTTTACAGCACATCACGAGATACTGGAGACTTGCGCGGCGTATATATCCTCCCGGGCTCTACATACCAGCCACATATAAATATTAGCATCGCCGGGAATCGGGCTACATTGGGTTATTATTACGTTAGAGGGAAGAGGTGCATAATCACGTCAAGATGGGCTTTTGGCGTTGGGACATGACCGCCGGTACGATAAGCACAGTGAATTTGTGCGCCGGGGCATTGTAATACTTCCAGGATATGGTAGTTTTGTTCATCATTAAGCGTTTTTCTTGAAGAAGAAGCAGGGAAGCAAATCAACATCAATCTCAACATTTCAATGCGGTGCGTCGTGAGCCATTGTAACCTGTCTCAGCGTGTTGTGTACAGTGAGTGGCCCCTCGTGCTTCATTCTATACGAGACAGGGCTTCTCAAAGCTTCCCATTATGGCGTTGAGGGTTGGATTACAATGCCACAGTGGCGTCATCTACATTCCATCTCACAAGATGTTGCAGGCATGGCTGGGAAAACACGGCTCAGCGCATCGAAAAATCACATGATCCGCTACAGCTGATGCTTAATGCTCACATCAAGGTTTGCTCGTGTGTTTGCGTATAAGCAAGTTCAGCGGCGTCGGCGCCGCAGCGGCAGAAAAGAGTAGACAGGCTGGGAGCGGCACAAACGCAAACTGGGATGTGCCTTGGAAAAAGGCTAAGCTGAAATGTGGCGTTTTCTGGGAAACATCTGGAGTCGGCAAAAAAGCATACGCGTCCTCTGCGCTAGGACTAGCGGGCTTTTGTTTGGCGGCGTGTTGGCGAGAAAGGTTAGAAAGAAATTGAGTATGTGTTGCATTATTATTATGAATTGATTGATTAATTTTACGAGCTGATGTGGCGTGTGATGAATTGTAAGTGGTTTATGGGCTAAGGGGGACATGTATGGTGGTTTGGATGTCAACAGAATGGGTGCTTTCCATCATCCCTCGTGGTGAGAAATGCAGGCTGCGGCAATAGTAAGCATTAGACTACACTCTTTGCCTTGTAATCGGGATAGCCTACCTACGGGTAGGTAATTGAAGGAGGAGTGGGCTGTAGTATCTTGTAATACATTTATATTTAATATCAATCCTGATGGTCAGGTACCTGGTCAGGCGTGAGCGAGCAATTCATGTCCTATTTCTCTGAGTACGGAACGGGAAAAAGCTGTTGATGCCGGTGACCGATCCTTACACATATTGTACATACGGAGTACATACGTTCCAAATGGGTCTTCCTTTTGATCCAGGCCGCGCAATAGTCTCGGTTTTGCGGCCGTGCGGGCGAGTACTACGCAATCAATATGCCGTTGCACAAAGGCTGCTGCACGAGTGGAATAAAATTGTTTGCATTTGTGACCATATAAATGTACCTGGCATGCACTGGCATGTGTCCAGGGGTGTGCCGATCTTGCCGGCTGCAAGACCACGTTTGTTGGTTGATCTTTACATATGTAGTTTCCTTTTATGGAACAAAATCGAACGCCTCAGACCGAAGGACCCTACACTCCCCCCCACCGAGCGAACAAGTGCATCAACATGGTCGGACAGAACATAGAACCAAAAAAAGTGTTCATAATAAGGAACCCCAATTCGAGAATTCGAGCAATCGGGTAACGCTATGCTGTGTGCTGAATGCCTGCCTCGATGTGTTGGTGAACAGGCTAGGACGCTCTTTGGAAGTCTTAGATGGTGTCTGGTGCCAAAACGGTATAGAGTGGCGGCCAGGCGAGGGTATTCAGCCTCAAGGTCTTGAGGCTTTATCCGGCCCCCTCCCCGGACAATCGGAATTAGAAGACGCGCAAGCTGGTCCAATTCAAGGCGGTGTTAGAAAGATTGATAAGAAAGGTACCATGGAGAGGGCGGAGGAGACCCATGGCCTGGTGTGCAATTGACCAGTAGACGTCACCACATCTTACCTAGAGGCCCTGTAGACCCGCGTGTCTGTGGCATTGATGGGTCAATCCAAAGTTGTGAGCCTGTGTAAGTCTTGGTGCTGTACATGCGGCTCCCTCTCGACAGTATTCGTTCGCTTTCCAAGTGCCGCAGATGTTGCACTTCGAGGTGTGCGACGGAACAGGCCAGACTAAATTGCAATTGTAGTCGGATGCATGTGTTCGTGGCAGTAATACTAGTGAATGGACGACTTTGATGGATGCCACAACAGCTTGGCTGGCAAGGCGGGCGGTTTTCGGCAGGAGTTGGCTGGTCGGATGTTGGGGACCCAGAGAGTTCAATGTTCAATGTGGTGAACTACAGATACTATACTTACCTTAGGTAAGTAGGTGCCTACCGTAGCAGATACCGGGTAGCACCTGGTAGGTACGGAGTACGCCGATGCACACGGCCAGGCGCTTTATCCATCGGGCCAAGTGCCGTCTCCTGACGATATCTCGATGCAGTGAGACGCATCGTGGCCAAATGCGCCTGCAGCCCAATCCAACAATAGTGGGCGCGGAAATAATACCCAACTGCCAATTTTACAACACGAGAGAGTGAGAAACTCTAATTTCTAACCTAGGAAATATTCTAGCGACCTTAGAAAGCGTCATTGCCAGCGACCAGGAGTTAGGTTTCAGCCAAACATACAAAGTCCTGCTGCCTCAGCATCGTACAATATCAAAGCAGTTCTAGCACGTGTGATGGGATATGGCGGTATCGTCATAGTTGCTCTGGTACGATCTAGGTCTAAACCCAGGGTAGAGGTGGGGCGGTGTCCCACGGCACACATATCTAACCAATCACAGCGAAGCCCTTCGCGTTGCTGGGTGGTTGGCCCGCATGTTTGTTTACCATCACTGACCACCAAACGCAACTGAATAGGCTCCCGGAGAAAGGAACCCCGCAGAGCTTGACCTTGCAGGCTTGCACTGCCTGATATTATCAAACCATCTTAGTTCCTGCTTGTTTTCAGGCCAGGCCTCTTCATCAGGCCCGAGGCTTTTGTCAACGGTCAGTGATGCTGGCTTTTGTATCCCGCATCCGAGCATCCAACACGGCTACGACAGAATCCTTTCGCCGCTGAAACAGCCTCCCTTCTCTTACAGCTGATATTTCTTTCTCCGGCCTGCATTTGCTTTCTTGTTGTACATTTGCGCAAGCGCATGTCTCAGGACCTGCCATCTTGAGGCCGAATTTGAGAGCTTTGTTTTCCCGCTGGGCGGCCGCCTCAACATTCCATTCCATCCTCGAAACCCTCCGAAATGATGTGCAGTCTGTCATAGGAGTCGGAACATACAAGATATAGCTAGCAGCGTGTATTCACTTTCGCGCGCCCGGAGAGGGAGCAAGACATCCAGACAATGTCGTTCCAATCTCATCGTCTGCGTCAGTCGCGCACCGCCGACCTCGCACCTCCTACCAGCTTCACGCATAACAACATATCTACCAGCATCTCCAACATCAATCGCTTCCCTTCAACCACCTCGTCATCCGCATCTTCGGGCTACTCCTCCACATCCGACCGCAGCAACGTCACGCAATACACATCGGCATCGAGCGACCACGGCTCTCCCGCTGGCCGCAAGCACAAGCGTGGCCAAAGCGATGTCCTCGCTCGGGCACGAACCTTTGAAGCAGGGGCAATGAACGGCTTCAATACGGGACCAGCAAATCCCCCAGCGACCCCAACTCGTCAGTCTGTTCGGCCTCTGCCCCAGGCGCCGACGACGTCCCCCAGATCTCCAGCTCAGGGTGCTTCACCTCGAAGTTCTCTTCGACATGATCGTGGACAGAGCATCGATATTGGCAAGCTATCCCTCAGCCAATACGACGGCCCGGCAGCACCGCCCACATCACCACCACGACCGTTGCCCATGAGGCCTAACTCGATGCTGTTGACCCGATCCGACTCAATTCTTCAAGCCAAAACGCCCATGCCGCATGGTAGCTCGCCTCAGGGATCTCACACCACACACATCGGCCGCCCGGACCTCGAGCTGCTTGGACGATCTACCACCCGTGAATTGCGTACCTTATCTCGACTGGCTGAGTCTGATGTTGCAGAAGACTTCACCATCACGTCGTCTGCACAAGAGGTGGTTGGTTTACGTGGACGACGCCGACTACAGCGTACCGATAAGCACACTGGTTCTCGCAGCGCCAAATCCGGCGGCTATGGATGGGAGGGCCGGAACTGGATGGATAAGCAGCGTCAGTTCCTCCAGGCTTATGAGTATCTTTGTCACATAGGAGAAGCCAAAGAATGGATAGAAGATGTCACGCAAAAGACTCTCCCACCTATTGTTGAACTGGAGGAGGCTTTGCGGGACGGGGTCACTCTAGCCAACGTCGTCGAAGCGCTGAATCCTCAGAGACACTTTCGAGTATTCCACCATCCGAAACTTCAATTCCGCCACTCGGATAATATTGCCATCTTTTTCAGATATCTCGACGAAGTTGAACTTCCCGATCTTTTCCGATTCGAACTCATTGATCTTTACGAGAAGAAGAACATACCAAAGGTCATATACTGTGTCCATGCATTAAGTTGGCTACTTTTCCGCAAGGGCATAGTCGACTTCCGAATCGGCAACCTTGTTGGTCAACTTGAGTTTGAACACCACGAATTGGAGGCGATGCAAAAAGGTCTAGATATGCTGGGAGCTAACATGCCCAGTTTTGGTAATATGGGCGCCGATTTTGGCGTACCAGAGCCCGAGCCTGTTGAAACGGAAGAAGAGCGCATCGATCGCGAGCTAGGGGAGAACGAAGAATCAATAGTCGATCTGCAGGCTCAAATACGTGGGGCCCTGCTTCGGTTGCGACTTGGCAATAAGATGCAGCAGTTCTGGGACGAGGAGCATTGGCTGATTGACCTACAATCCCGTATTCGTGGCGATTTCACCCGCCAAATCATGAGCTATCGGCTCCAGATGCGACGTTCTGCCACCTTGACACAAAGTGCGGCGCGAGGATTTTTGGTCAGGGAGAGATTGAGGAAGAGTGATGCTTTTTGGAAAGCTCATGAGCCGGAGATTCTAGAGCTTCAGAGCATGATACGAGCCAACCAGGTCCGTGACGAGGTACGAGACTTATTGTATTCCTTGGACGGTTGCAAGGGGCCTGTCCGGGAGATTCAGGCAGTTTCCAGGGGTTTCCTGGTCCGTAAGAATCTGGCTGCTCAACAGCAGGAGACGAAAAAGACTTCGGGCCACGTTGAGAGACTTCAGGCTCTTGCTCGTGGAATGGGGTTGAGAGCCAGAATCAGCAAGGATCTTCAGTTATTGGGAGGACAGGCTGGCACGGTTGCCAGCTTACAAGCTGCTGCGAGGGCTCTGCTGACCAGGACTCAGATCGACCGTGAGCAGCAGCAGCTGCGTGCCCTCGGTCCAAAATGGGAGGCACTCCAAGGTGCGATTCGAGGAAAGCTTGTGCGGGAAAAGCAGGAAGCATATAAGGTCGAAGCCCAGAAACACGAGCTCAATATCGGTAAACTACAGGCAGTGATAAGGGCAGGCGCTGTGCGACGTGAAGTTGCGAGAAAACTAGACGCTCTAGAGGAAAGCAAAGAGGAAATTCTTTCTCTTCAATCGGGCGCTAGAGGAATGATGGAAAGACTCAAGGTCGCTGCCTTGCAACAGGAACTCAATCGACATGAGGCTCGGATCACAGGACTGCAGGCACAAGTCCGAGGCTACATTGGCCGGAATCAACACCATGCGCTCCTGGATGAACTCAAGTCCCATAATGAAGCTACAGCAGAATTCCAGGCCATTCTGAAGGCAATGATGACTCGCGCAGGAGTCGACGATCTTCTCACGGAACTTGAGGAAGAGGAGGAATCCATCGTGGCTTTGCAAGCTGCCACAAGGGGATTTATGGTGCGAGCGAAGTTCGAGGAAAAGAAGCGTTATTTCAACGAAAATATGAAGAAAGTCATCAAGATCCAGAGCTTTGTTCGCGCCAAAGTGCAAGGCGAAGCATACAAAAGTTTGACCACTGGAAAAAACCCCCCGGTCAATGCGGTAAAGAACTTCGTTCACCTTCTCAATGACAGTGACTTTGATTTCAATGAAGAAGTTGAATTTGAGCGAATGCGAAAAACCGTTGTCCAGCAAGTGCGCCAGAACGAGATGTTGGAGCAATACATCGACCAGCTCGATATCAAAATTGCACTTCTCGTCAAGAACAAGATCACCCTCGATGAGGTTGTGCGACATCAACACAACTATGGCGGAAATTCGATGGGACTTTTAGCCAACAGCACGATTACTTCAGCCAATCAGTTTGACTTGAAGGCGCTCAATAAAAGCTCACGCAAGAAGCTGGAGTCATATCAACAGCTCTTCTTTAGCTTGCAGACGCAACCACAGTATCTTGCTCGACTGTTCAAGCACCTTCGCGAACAGGGCACATCGGAAAAGGAGTACAAGAGAATCGAGCTTCTCGTCATGAGTCTGTTCGGTTATGCGCAGAAGCGGCGCGAGGAGTACTATCTTTTGAAGTTGGTGGCCCGGGCTATTCGCGAGGAAGTGGAAGGATGCCGAGCTATTCAAGAGTACATACGAGGCAACTATTTCTGGCCAAAGTTATTGGGTAACTATACTCGATCACCTAGGGATCGCAAGTACCTGCGCAGTTTATTGGGACCACTGATCCGCGATAATATCGTCGAAGATCCCGCCCTTGACTTGGAAAGTGACCCTATGCAAATCTACCGGTCTGCCATCAATAACGAAGAGCTGCGGACCGGTCGCCCTGACCTCCGACCGCTTGACGTACCACGCGAGGTGGCTATTAGGGATCCTGAGACAAGGCGCCTATTCATCGACCATCTACGGGATTTGCGGGAGATTTGCGATCAGTTCTTCCTGTCCCTGGAAGAAATGGCCCATAAGATGCCATACGGTCTACGGTTCTTGAGCAGCCAGATGTTTCAAGCCTTGTGTCAACACTTCAACCGCGAGCCGCAAGAAAACTTGCTTCAGCTCGTGGCAAACTGGATCTGGAAGTTCTACCTTCAGCCTGCCTTGACCCAACCAGAACAATTGGGTGTTATCGAAAAGTCACTGAGCCCGCTCCAAAAAAGAAACTTGAGTGAGGTAGCCAAGGTTATCGGGCAGGTTGCGTCTGGGCGACCATTTGGCGGCGAAAACATTTATTTGCAACCGCTGAACAACTTTGTGACAGACTCTATCCAACGCATGCGACAAATCCTACAGAACTTGATCTCCGTGGCAGATGCCGAAAGCACCTTCGGCGTCGATGAGTTCAACGACCTCTATGCCAAGAATAAGCCGACTCTGTACATAAAGATGACTGACGTTTTTGCAATTCATAATTTAGTGGCATCGGAGCTTCCTTTCATGTGCCCAACTAGGGATGATGTTCTCCGAGAGATCATTCAGGACTTGGGCAATGCAAAGAGCAATGAAAACGAAATGAATGCGGCTGGATCATCCGATATCCAAATGTTCCTAACCCCCAAACTCCACAATGTCCAAGATCCAGAGGAAGATGTCAAGTCACTCTTTATGGAGACGAAACGCTGCGTCCTGTATATCATCCGGGTCCAAACTGGCGCCAATCTCCTAGAAATATTGGTAAAACCCATCTATGAGGAAGACGAAGAGAAGTGGCAAACAGTGCTGCACGATGACTTTTCAAACGACGGCAATACTCGCGGGGCTTACTCGGACACCAATATGGTGGACGTAACAAGGATGACTTACTACGAACTTAAGCGTACAGCGCTAGAGAATATCATGAGGCTAGAACAGATGGGACGTATCTCGAAGCAAAATTACTACCAGGACGTTCTCAACGCCATTGCCAGCGATATTCGAACGAAGAGCCGCAGAAGGGTCCAAAGACAACGAGAACTAGAAGGTGTGCGGCTCACTTTGACCAACCTAGCTGAAAAGGCCAAATACCTTGAGCAACAAAGGAAGAGCTATGATGATTATATTGAGCAGGCAATGGTGACATTGCAGAACAAGAAGGGGTATGTTTGTGTGGTTCCTTTCCGTGAGGTTGGCCTGAAGACTTTTGCTAATGATTGAAACCATAAACAGGAAGAAGAAGTTTCTCCTGCCATTTACGAAGCAATACAACCACCAACGTGAGCTTGAGCGAAGTGGTCGGGTACCCAAATTTGGAAGCTACAAGTACAGCGCCAGAACGCTCTCCGAGAAGGGCGTTTTGGTGTCCTGGGCAGGCCTCAGTGACCGCGAATGGGACAAGATCAACATTACCATTTCCTGTGACGAGGTTGGTGTGTTTGCCATTGAAGGATCACGAGGCCACATTCAGATGCCGGGTGCGAGCGCCTTGGTGCCTATTGAGGACATGTTGCAAGCGCAATTTGAATCTCATCAGTTCATGAACTTGTTTGAGGGCAACTTGAAGTTGAACGTCAACTTGTTGCTGCATCTTGTGTACAAGAAGTTTTACGGAACGTAATGATGCTTTCGCCAAGAGGAGGCATCAATATGTGGACTGATGGAGCGGTCTGTTGGCGTTGCGTTAAATTTGCATATGTAATGGTTAGCGATAGGAACAGGAGGAAAGGGCATGGTTCGGTGTTTGCTGGCTTGTTATTTTCGTCTATGCAAGAACCTTTACTGTTTTATATCATAGGATAGGGATCTTGACAAATGCGTAATCTTGGTGCGCTAGTTTGGGGTTGGACTGTATGGATGGACTGGACTGGACGTGAATATGAATATGGGTATGGAATAGCTGAGGCGCCTTGGGACTGGCTTTGCCGGGTGCAATGTAGATGATTTGAAGAATCCGATTGCCTTGTACAAACTATTTTGATACTCTTCAGCATACGCAGTGCTAGTCATAAGCAGCCAGCTGCAGTGCCAAGTTTTCATGCCTGAGATTGTTGTCCAACATTGACATCTCCAAGCTGTCTTGATCAAAGTGCCGGGCGATGATCTGTATCTACGGATATCGGGCGGCTCGGTCAGGCTCATCATTAACTAGTAGTATCAGGGAGATTTACGTAAAGCCGGCATATCTGCGATGGTGAGGCGAGCGTGTCGAGGGTGGTGGTTGGTTGCCAAACCCGATAGAAAGCTGGCAGGCAGGGTGGTTGTTGATCTCCTTGTGTCATGAATGGTTCAAGGGTGTATTTGCATGTGGTGCTGTTTAGCGCTGGCTTGTTTGGCTCGTGGGTCCTTTGGGACAAGGCGCCCATCTATGCATGCTGCAGTATTATGCGAGAGGTGCAATTCTCGTGCTTGTCTCGGTGGTGTTTGGACATCTGAGCCCTAGTCGCCGTGTCGTTTGTTCGTTGACAACCCGGGCGGTCGAAAATAAAGGAGCACTTGAGACCGGGTGTCATCGCCAATGGATGTCTCATTGAAGTGGGAACAGGCTTGAACCAGTTGTCGGCTCTGGCGTGCTCCGCAGTCCGCCCCGTACTTTAAGTATTGACGTTAGATTAGGCGCGGACACGGAAAAGGGAGCGTTTGCAGCCATGGTGTCATCCGTCAAGGCGATGTCGACATCGCAGGATGACGGCATCAAGACGGCGAGAAGAGGGAGCAATGACAGTTTTGCTAGCGTATGCTAGTGCAGAGTTTCTTACATGGCAGAAATCCACATGCAACAAAAGGGGTCGGTCCATCATGGTGTCAGAGTGTCCAGCTCGTCGCACACAAGCCAGGAAGGCACCGGCTCGCTGTTCCTTCCCAGCCGCACCGCACTTTGTTGTACATGCTTTGTACGTGGGGAAACCCTCGACACTCGACGACTTCAGTCCACCACAAGAACAACTCGGATAGGAATAACACTAACCTGACAACAGCCATGCCACGCCCACACCATTTCGTGCCCACCACGTATTGTACATTATTGTCCTTTGCCTCTCTTTCGAGTCAATCCAGATGTCACGGACGGCACCACTGCGTCAACACCAGCCCCTTTGATTCCGCAGCCCCGAATGCCAGAACTACCGTCTGTCTGGCAGTACGGAGCACACCCGATTGGAACGACTTCGAGCCGTACCTGGGGTCTATCCACAAGTCTGCCAAGGAGATTTAAGAGCTGCTAATCCCAGTTCCAGGGTTGTGCTTCATACCATCATTGTCCGGCGCTAAAAAGTCATGGACCAACCAAGTCAAGGTCGACGCCCAAAGCAGTAGTTCCACCAGACAGGCGTATTGTGGCTTCTCGAACCCCCAGCTCACACACGCCTCTGCTGCCCTCCCTCTTTATGAAATGCCAAGCGCAGTCGAGGGTCGTTGAGTCGTTCACACCGCCGAATTTTCCGATGCCCAATTTGCTGCCTTGTGTGCGAGTTGGCTGGGGAGGCACCATGTGACCACCTTCCAGGGTTGGGGCTGTTGGTCAGCTGTTGATGGCGTTCTCAGTTCATTCATTTCTCCTGGGGAATGAGGTTCCAATCATGGCGTCGGAGGCGGCAGCCAGATGTTAGAGCCTGACTAGGACAGCCGTTCGAGACCGCGAAACTCGTCAAGGACCAGCGTTGACAACAATACGTGATACGTATTGAGAGTTGAGTCTCAAGCCGGGGGTGGGCACCAGTAGCGAGACAACTATCCAGACCACATCGTATTCAAGCTAAGCCCCGTTGGGGGCATGAACCCTTCACCTATTGCATTTTACTTTGCATAGATGGAGCCCAGAATGCCCGGGATACGTTCAGCAACATGCTTTTTAGCTGGGGTTGCACACGCGGGCATGACCATCAGTCACCTTCTCACACCAAGGACCTCAATGTCTCCCGCCCGAAAGCCGGCTCCGCAATGGATTGAATTTGCCCCTCCCCCCTTTGGGTTCCCGCCGCGTTAGAACTGAGTTGGTGGAAAGGCCCACGACCCCGGGTGCGGCGAGATGCTCCCATACGAGTGGCGGGTTGGCAAAGGGAGAAGAGATAGAGAGTATAAATGCCCCGGTGTCTCTCCCACACCTCTCTCCTGCTTTTGTTGGCATCATGTCGTTCTTGTCACATACGCATTGCTATTACTATTACTGTTTCTTGTACTGGACTACTTTTTTGAGCTAATTCGAAACATTGGAGCACTGTCTGTATTTACATCCGTTGTAAGAAGGACTGAGATTCTTGCCGCCCGAACTTCAGTCTTCTTGTTACCTTTGAGCTTTATTCTTTTGGGGTCTCTTGTTTTTTTTTTCCTTTAGTGGAAAGGACGTCAAGGAATTGGGAGGGAACGCAGTAGCTGTACTCCGTACCTACCCTTTTATCAGAGAACTCACCATTTTCCTCTTTCTGTGTGGCGCTCTGCTCTGAGTTGTCATATAGTCTCCTCTGCTGTATTGGTCGCCATCTACATCACGAGAGCTCCCTTTCCGGATTTACACCTATTTCCTTCTGGTTCCAGCCGCCAATCCTTGAAGTGAATCTTCCAAAGAACTAATGAGTAGAAGACCGCAGCTTCAGAGACAACAGCAGCAGTGATCAAAGAGCTAGCTGAGAGCACCGGGGGGGGATTGAGAGATTCTGACCTAAAAGACCCTTTCGAACAATAGGCTATTCCAATTATTTCAACATGGCTCCCGATATCAACACCATTCAGACGACGGCACCTCTTCCCAGGGGCAGCGCTGAGAAACCCAACATTCTCTACATCATGGCTGATCAGCTGGCTGCCCCTCAGCTCAAGATGTATAATCCAGAATCACAGATCAAAACGCCAAACCTGGACCGCCTCGCTGCCACCTCTGTACAGTTTGATTCTGCGTACTGTCCTTCCCCGTTGTGCGCCCCCTCCCGAATGAGTATGATCACAGGTCTTTTGCCCATGAAGATCGGCGCTTATGATAATGCCTCTCAAATCAACTCCGAGATCCCTACCTATGCCCATTATCTCCGTTCCAAGGGCTACCAGACAACTCTGGCAGGTAAGATGCACTTTGTCGGGGATCAGCTTCATGGATATGAGCAGCGTCTTACGAGCGACATCTACCCCGGGGATTTTGGCTGGGCCGTCAACTGGGATGAACCCGATACTCGTCTAGAATGGTATCACAATGCCAGTTCAATTCTACAGGCAGGCCCTTGTGGTCGTAGCAATCAGCTGGATTATGATGAGGAGGTCATGTATCGAAGCGTTCAGTATCTGTGGGACCACGTCCGCGAAGGCCCGGAGAAGCGCCCGTTTGCTTTGACGGTAAGTGAATGTTTAAATAGGTAGTAGGATGGCCCTTTTCCCGGCGAAGCAAGATCTTTATTGTTCACATTGCCCGCAAACGGACAACATGAGGCGAGCTACCAAAAAAGAGTCAACTGCTGGAAAGGAGCTTGAGGGAACAGATAAGTCTTTTGCCCTTTATGACAACGCTAACAGACACATTTTTCTCTATATATAGGTTTCTCTCACTCATCCTCACGACCCTTACACCATCACTAAGCAGTACTGGAACCGCTATGAGGACGTAGATATTGCGCTGCCCAAGATCCGCATTCCCAAGGAGGAGCTCGATGCTCATAGCAAGCGTTTACTGAAAGTCTGCGACCTCTGGGACCAGGACTTTTCTGACGAACAAATTAAGAGAGCCAAGCGCGCCTACTACGGCTCCGTCAGCTACGTGGACGATTGCATTGGCAAACTTCTCGAGACTCTTGAAGACGCTGGTTTGGCCGAGAACACCATCATCATTTTCAGTGGCGACCATGGCGACATGTTGGGCGAGCGAGGTCTGTGGTACAAGATGAGCTATTTCGAGTCATCTGTTAGAGTCCCTCTACTGGTCAACTACCCGAAGTGGTTCCAACCTCACCGCGTCAGCCAAAATGTGTCAACGCTTGACCTGCTCCCAACTATTTGCGATCTAATTGGCACCAAGCCTGCTCCGTATCTGCCCATGGACGGGCTTAGCATGTTACCCCATCTTCAGAATAGGGAAGGCCATGACACTGTCTTTGCTGAATACACTGGCGAAGGCACTGTCCGACCAATGATGATGATCCGCCGTGGACCTTGGAAGTATATCACTTGCCCGGCCGACGAGCCACAATTCTACAATTTGGAACGGGACCCCCAAGAAGTTGACAATTTGGCACGCTTCGTGAGGGTTGCACCACAGAATGCTGAAGAAGAAGGAATTAAAGCGCTGTTCGAAAAATACGACGCAGAGGCCAAGGCCAAGTGGGATTTTGACGCCATCACAGCACAGGTTCTTCAGTCTCAGCGCAGCCGTCGCGTTGTTTGGGATGCCCTTAAAGAAGGCGCATTCACAAGCTGGGATTTCGATCCCTTAGATGATGGTAGAATGAAGTAAGTAATATTGGGTTGGGCAGTACGCCAGTCAAGAATCATCGTTTTAACGGCTAGCCAGGTATATTCGCTCCACTATCCCTCTGGATGCTCTGGAGCGCCGTGCTCGTTTCCCCTTTGTGGACAGTAACGGGTACGATTCTAAAGCGGTCAACTCAACTCGTAATTGAGCTGAAGGAAACAGGTCAGGTGGGCATCAATTTTGCGAAGTCCAAAATGCTGATATGATGTTATTATGAAACTGGTAGTTATTACTCAGCCATGGGAATGATTGATATGAACTCGGACAGTATGTTATGTATGGATATTGCCATTTAGGAGTTAAAATGCGATTTTTTTCAAGGATGGTACCCAACGCGAATTAGCCTGTGGTGTTCGGCGTGTTCATGCTGAGTCAAGATTGGGATGCAGCAACCAAAAATTAGCACATTAACACTCGGGAAAATTGTTTCTTGGTCACAACTTATCACGTTTCACCCTCTCCTTTTTTTAAAGTAGAAGGGCTTTTGCCCAGCTCTCCAGAGTTTGGCGCTGCATAGCAAATGCTCAGCAGCTTTGTACTCAAAAAACCATGTGGGTCCCCGCAGTTGCGACGACATTGTACGGCAAAGAGAGCTGATCCACCACCTCTCCACAGCTTTCCTCACCACACACGTGCGAGCAATCCGCGCGCTACCAACCTCTATTCTCCAATTGACCTTCACCGGCCTTTTATCTGGCGGTATCTACATTCACCATGGCGACGCTGGCGCTGGACGAAGACGAGCTCAAGTCCGTGGAGCACACGGTCGCAAGGCTAGCCCAACTATCCAGCAGCATCCAGAGCCTGAAGATGGACATTCTAAAAAGCAATCCCCTGCCGCACCCGTACGTCTCGCAGCGCCCATCATGTCCCAGAAACCTCACGTGCACGTATATTCACCCGCAGCGGGCAACAGTTCGTCCCTCCAGGCTTCTGCGCAGATCCTGCAGCGCAACCTGCAGTCCGTCCTCGAGAGCCTCAACGACAACGCGGAGCTGTTTACGCGAATGGTCATCCACCCGTCGACCAACTACCCCGGCCGGACGCAGGAGAATATCCTGACGCAGTTGCTGCGCAAGAAGCTGGAGCCCGACGTGGAGGAGCTGGTTGCCGAGGGGCGCGAGACGGCGAGGCTCGCGACGCCAGAGGGGGTCGCGGAGCTGCAGGCGATCTGGGACGAGCTGCGGGAGTGGACGCAGGGCCGGATTGCGGCCTACGTGCGCGATGAGGCGGGCGATGTGTATACCCGTGAGGAGAGGGAGGCAGGGGTGGACAGTGTTCGGACGGGGCTGAGGAGGGGTCTTGATGAGAGCGACGAGGACGAGGACGAGGCGGATGAGGATGAGGACGAGGATGAGGACGGTGAGGGGGGCGGTAATATGGTGCCCAGGGGGCCGGAGCCGGAGACGCTGTTGTGGTTTGGGGCGAGGGGGGATTTTGAGCTGCCGCGGAACGTCGAGTTTGAGCGCAAGATGGGCGTGAAGAGGGGGCTGGAGGGTGTGAATATACCACCTGAGAGAATGGACGGTGTCGCTTCGTCTTAGGAGAAGAGGGTGAGGAGGCTGCGAGACTATGCTAAGGCAAGTCTGGAGCGAGCATGATGTTGGGTCACGACTTATGAATATTGCGTTGAATTTTGCAAGCGACATGTTTATAACTTACGAGGAATTGTAGCCCTCGAGAAGACATGCAGGGGGGGAGTGCAGCAGCAAAAAGCTGTCTTGTTAGAATATAATGTTGACCCATGGGCGTCGCTAGCTACATATAGGTGCCTACCTAGGTAGGCAAGCAGTTGGAAAGATATGCAGTAGATGATGGGATTTTCTGGACGGCCTGGGACATCATGGTTGAGATGACTTGGTGTTACATTCATGCCAACGCCTGGAAGGCCGAGGATCATTTTGGGAATACATCTTCTGCAAGGTATCTCGCGCATCATTCCTGATGACCATTTGCAGCAAAAACCAGCAACAGTCTTGCACATGCATCACTCAGCGTCACAAATCCAGCGCCAAAGTACAACGGTTCTGCATTGCAAAACAAGGGCAGGTCGGGGCCTTCGGCTGCGTCGGTATTGACGGATGTCGTGTGACTTGGTGGCTGCAATAATACCTGGCGCGGGCCACAGGATGATGTCAGCTCGACGTGGCTCAAGGCTGTCTGCCGTGTGTGAAACCCCCCTTCAGACTCTGAACAAGGCCGGTTGATTATATTCAGTGACCATGAGTATTACGACGGCTTCCGATCCGAGGGCTGACATTGATCCCATGGGCCGCCCATTGTGCCTTGATGCCTTAAAGGCCCTCCTCACTGCAAATATCGCGGTAGTTCTTGAGGAGGGGGTCCTCATTCAACGATTCGTCTACTTTCGTCGACCCTTGAGTAAAACCTGCTCCATGTGTATTTGATCGCACACGATGGCCGGTCCACATTCGTGTTCATCGTTGGGAGGTTTAGATGTTGGATTTGCGAGTATACCGCCTGCTTTGCTGTCCGCACGTGTTTCGCCGTTTGGAAAATCATCATACAAGAAGCCTGACCTCCGATTGAAGAAACGGGCAAGTAAATCACCGGTTTGCTTTACCGATGAATATACTGGGCCGTGTTTACTACTATCGCTGCCTGTGGAGATCCGGCTCCAAATATACGACTGGGTATATAAAGCAAGCCCGGTGCACAAGAACTTACCTCTCACGGGATATCCCCTCCCTGTGCGACAGCCACGGTCTACAATCTTGATTGAAGACAAAGAGAATCTATTACAAGAGGGTCGCGAAATCTGCGTTTCCACTCTTCTCCGCCAAGACCGGCTCTATAACTGCCTCCCGAGTAATCTCCTCGTGCTAAATCGACACATATACGCAGAAGCAAGGGAGATTCCATTCTACAGCAACGAGTTTGTTTTTGAGAATTGGTTTTCGTCCGGGCTAGTTGCAGCGGCATCATTGTTGACTGACGTGTTCGAACCCTGGCAAGCCGGAGCCATGCGATTTGCAAGAATCGAAATAAAGTTAAAAGATTTTCATGACGACAGCGGCTTCGAGAGATGGAGAATACTGAGTGCGAATTGGGCGAGCTATTTTCGTGGTCTGCGAGTATTGATTCACGTCTCGAATGATGCCTTGTTTGAGAAAAGCCGCTTGCCGGACGCCCTTGATGGGATCGCTGAGCGATGGGTGGTCGATGGGTGCTTGGCTCAAATGAAAGCCTTGGAAAAGCTTGAAGTTGAGCTGGTGACACCGTCTTCATGTCCTGATAGAGATAAGTTGGATTGGTGTAGAGAGCTTCAGGCAGCTTTGAGGATACATGGCTCAAGAGCCGTCGTGGCTAGTGTCAAATGCGATGTTAACTCTCTCAAAGATAACAAGACGGGATGAAGAGTAGGTGTCAAATTGGCGAAAGTGAGCGGCTAGGCCCTTCTGTCAATTGCATATTTTTTCAGACCTTTGTGTGGTTTCGTTGAACGACTGGACACTCCGTACATCCCACGTTCGTCCTCGCCCTTGTTGCTGCGCCGGTGGGGAAGGAACGAAAACAGAGCCACTCCATGTGACTACGCGCCAGTATCGCTCGCTCGGGGATGACTCACGTCGCCATGAATGGGCATGATGCGAAACGTTAGCATTTGCAGAGCGTGAAAGCTGCGACACTCGGCCCTCTCGATCCATTTCAACCGTCATTCTTTGGTGTCATGATTTGGATACTGGTTCACTGGAGTCACTGGAGTCACTGGACCGATCGTGGCCGCGAGTGCCCGTTCATACCCACTCACTCCTCGGCGGAATTTTTGAACCAAACAAGAGACGGAGAAATATGGATGTTTTAATCGTTATCAGATTTACGTAGTACTTGCGATCAAAAAGCTACACCATAGCGTTGCCATTTTCTGTCGACGAGTCAAAGCGGAACCCTTTCGTGCATCAATCGCGACGGGTGAGTTTTGTTTTTAATTTGTTATTAGGGTTTTTTCTTTTTTCCTTTGGCCGGAATTCCTGCAAAATATGCCACACCAGCTGGACGGTAATTGCATCTTCATTGTCCATATTGCTCACTTCCGGGACACTCAAGACGCCGTATGTAAATTGGAACTTTCAAAGGCCGGTCCAGATGACCCGCTAGCTATGCGAAGTAGCGGCAGAGCGACACACCGGGACAGCGTTATTAATACATGAGCTACGAGACAGTATACCACTTACTCCAGTTCGATGTATCAATGTGCTTTTAGTTGAGTTGGCGGAAGCCCCATTTCCAAGGTGGAACCTGGCAACGTGCAGCGTTATGCCACCTGAGAACTGACTGGAGGCGTGACTCTGCAGCCAGCCGCACCTCGGCCATCATTAGACAAGTGAACACGGCGACCCTTGTAATCTGCTCTTGCCTTTTCAAGACATCGAGTCTCCGGTCTCGCTGAACATGCTTCTGTTTTTATTCATCCCAATCGTCTTCCTCACTTTCTGAACACTTGCATTCTTTCATCTTTATCATAATTATTTCCCTAATATTCATTTAGTATTGCGCGTGCTCAACTACAACATAGTTCTCCCCAAACCTGTCACTTGGTTAACAGTCATCCAATCCGAAGCAGGGCCTCTCCGCCGAGGCGCCCCGCCATCTCTCACCCGCACTGTACCTGTTCACGGCCGACAACACCACCGTGCTTGCACGTCCAACGCCTATCACGACAAAATCGCAAAAGTCCATGTTGGTATACCTATCCTAGCAGATGTTTTGACTAGTAACGACTACATACAATCGACGTGGAAAAGATGGACGCCCGGTGCCAATGCGGAGCCGTGGGCTTCAAAACGCCGTTGCCTGAGCCGCTGGCGCTGTACATCTGTCACTGCGCCGAGTGCAAGCGCCAGACAAGCTCAGCATTTGGTGCTTCTGCTATATTTCCGCGCTTCAGGATTCCCGAGGCCGAATTACTTAGCTGCTATGCGTAAGTCCTTGCCATGTTTCAGTTCCAATCTCCTGTTCCAAGACGCGTTCGTGCTACAAGTACGCCGTGTACCAGTCAGTCATTCAGCGTGCTCTTGATTCTGGATCCTGGATGACTCGCCGTAGTCCTTGCTAATGAGTGACACAGTCGACCCACGGCCTCGGGACAAACACTGTATTGGTATGCTTAAACTTGGTTAATTTATAATAGCTGTGCACCCGCTCGATAGACTAACAGGCTTGATAGCTACTTTTGCCGAAAGTGCGGGACTCGACTCCTTCACACAACACCGGTAGGCGCACAATTACATGATGATTCTCCGCCCCGTGATACCTGCAACTAATACCAACACCCAAGCAGACCAAAAATGTTGTATCCGTAAAAGGAGGGTGTCTCGAGGGCTTAGACTGGGGCAAGGCCATTCATCTTTGGACGAAGAGTGCTATGGTCCCTATCCCCGAAGGCTCCGAGACTCACTCCGAAGGTTCTTCCTCGACTGATTACGGTTCTACCCAAGAGTTTCTCGATCAACCACTCGATCAGCCTGGATCGGAATTGACCAGCTAAGCGGACTTTTGAAAAGAAAAGAAAACAACGAAATGAGGCGAAATTATGGGTCTAGTTTCATATGCTATTTCCTTTCATTACGGCGCAGCCTGCATTCTATACGCGAAAACGATAGGTATCTGTCCAAAACAATCGATGGAACAGAGTGGTTCACCCCTCTTCCCATCATAATGCGGCGTGAGATAAATTCACATTAAAATTTGGTAGTTGTATCTTAAAAACTTGGGCATCGTAATCTTCGGGCTGGGAACGTGGTTCAACACGGAAGGATCTTGTCTATTTCTGGGAATGCTGTTGTGCTAATTGTTCAATTTGGGGTGTTCGGGGGTCACACGGCGGGGGAACAAGAGGACGGACATACAGGGACATATATTTCATCCATATATACCAAATCATGGGAAGGAACATTGCTTGACATAGTATTTTGAATTAATTAATTGATCTCTATTATGTACTGCAAATGCGCGACGCAGCAACAGCGTTTAGAGCATAGCCGAGAATCCAGATATGTGTACATGGTCTCTTATAATCCATTATCCATTCATCATTCACTTCGCTCAAAAACACCAGCATCTGCTGACGGAGGATAAAATACGTACATGGGAAACTCCAGGAAAATGGTTCGTTTCAAAAACAAAGGCATCTTCTCATACAGCTGTGGGGGGAATGGAATCAAGATACTCGTCCGGTCCAGCCACCGCTTGTATCCTTCCCAATTGTTGCCCTTCTCATAGCGTGCTTTGGCCTTTGGCCTCTCCGAAAGGGGCAGTCCAGAGACAAACATGAGCAGTACTGTGAGAAGAATTGGCCCCAAGATTGTCGCGTACAGCGCTTTGTAGGCCTGGCCTGAGACGTACCCATCCGCTGCTGATGAAACGGCGATCATGTAAATGGCTAAGGTGGCCGTTAGCATTCCATGCTCAACACTTTCATCCTGTTCGCCAAAAACCATTAAATGTAAACTTACAGAACTGAATAATTATCTCGCCAAAGTAATTCGGATGTCTCGACACTTTGAACAAGCCGACATCACAAACCGCGTACCCATCGTGGGATTTTCGGAAATTGTACTTTTGCATGTCACTCACGCTCTCCATAAGAAACCCAATCGTAAATAAAACAATGCCGGCAATGTCTCTCCCAGTGCCAAATGAATGCTGTGGGTACTGCGTCACATTGGGCGAGTTCAATATGGTCACGGGGAGTGACACCGTCCACACCCAAATCATTTGAAAGACCCAGAAGCCAAGAAAGGGAAAGAACTTGTCGCGCTTGTCGTCGAATCGATCATCTGAGCCTGTGCGCAGGATGCGAAAGAAGAGGAAGGACGAGAGACGAACGGCCCAGAGGATGAGAAACAGAGAGGCTACAACTTGGCGCGCATGGTGGTGGCCGGAGAGGGAGAGTGTGAGGATCGCCAGGATGGCGAAGTTGGTGCCGCCGGCGAGGTCTTCTTGGAGTTAGACGATGTAGTTTGTAGTTTGCGGTTGCAGCGAAGGGGGCTGCGACTTACCAGTGAGTTTGTCGAATTTGAAGGAATATGCGATGGCGAAGAAGAAGAGCTGGTAGGCAACGGTGACAATGGCCGTTATTCCCAGGTAGTAATTGTCTAGAACATGGGTGACAGCCATGGCGAAGAACACCTCATACGAAGCTGTTGGCGATGGAAGGTCTGGCAGCACGAATGGAATGGGGTGAAGGATAATTTTTGTATGTAGGAATGCAGATATTATAACTGCCGCATGTTGGCATTCTCATGGCGCTATGTGGTGTGCGTCATAATAAAACGGGCATTTCCATGTGAGGGAGGTGTCTTTTGACGCCATGACGAACACACACCGACACCCAATGACGGATGTCATCATTGACCGTGACTGCAAAAGCGATCGCGGTGGTCGCAGAGAGACTAGTGGAGTTTAGTGACTTTTGCCGCCATGTCTCTACAGGAAGGTGCGAGGTACCCGTCGCCTGCCTTTGCCAGCACTGGTCCAACACTGCCCGATGTTTAAGCCAAATCGACAATCTGCAGATCTCGCTCTCATCCAAGCGCCAATTCATCAATATCTCTGCGGATATTCTACGTAAGCACCAAAGGACCAAAGAATTCACCAGTGTAATGGCACTCTCGAAAGAGAGGATGTATCCTCCGCCTGTCCATCTACCTGGGTGCTGACGCACTTGGCAGCCATCTGTGAAACCAGAGGTGCGGCGGCCGTTCGATTGCACCGTTCGACTTTCGACGTCGCAACCCACTCCCGAACAAAAAGTGATGGGAACATTACTTACGCACTCGTCAGCATCAAACGCACCAGCGCGTAGTACCGACCAAGTTTTATGCTCCGTCCACACAAACACCAACTAGGCTCTCCATTTGCACATTTTCAGATCGCTGTCATGTGACGCGAGGCCATGCCCCCAAACGCAAGCTGTCTGGGCCAGACGTCTCCAAACGTCTCAGTCTCGACGCCAACTACTCCTCGTGCAACAGCATGCACCCACTTGGGCCCTGACCGCAGCCGCATCCCTCGCGAATCCAACCTACTCAAACAAGCTATGAACCAGGATGTATGGGGGATAGGAGGTATCATCACCATTCATTCCGCTGTCAATGTCCCCAAATTGCTGAGAAATCCATGGGGGGCTTCAGTTTCCACCTGGTCCGATTGGAGGCAAACATGACACTCGACAACATGCGCCTCTCTTTCCGGGCTGCCGAGATCTCTCCTCATACGAGCGCAACAGGACTCACTACTCGTAGCAAGTGTAAAGGCTTCATACAAGATATCTGTTCAGATGCTACGCGAATCTCCCGCTGAATTAATGCATGTACTGTCTGGTGCCGTGTTTTCCCACCCACACCATCTGATCTTTCTCTTCACCATCGTACACTGCCCTCTTCATTTTCCCCTTTCGTCTTCCTTTCCTTCTCTGTTCAGTATCATGTGTTGCTCTTTGACCTCTTAGTTACTGTTGGTTCGTTCGTGTAACTCCGTTCTCACAAGCAAATGCTTGGGTTTCCCGCCTGCTTCTCGCTCCAAACATTCTTTCATTGAGTTGAGAAACGTGAAGGGTCCCAGTTTAGGTCAAGCCGCGTTTCTCCTCGTCTTCGCTTTCGAATTTGCTTCGTTCCTTCTCTCCCTCGCTTTGCAAACTGCCATATAGGCCTTCTTGTCCTCTCATCAGCTGGCTGATATGCCATCCTTGGGTTCCATGATTTTATTCCGGACTCTTGGATGTAGACCTTGATCTTGGCAGTCGTCCTGTTTTTACATTTTGAGCAGCCGGCCTGCCTAATATTCACACTTAAACATCTTTCTTCTCTTTCTCTTTTCTTTTCTCGGGAGTGTTAATATCCGCGCGCTATCTAGGCAGTGGCGTGCGTGTCCCGCTGGGAACAGGATTTCCTACTGCCTAGGATGAAAGCCTTTGTCTGGCTCGTTCTTGCTACCACGGCTATCGCTCAGGTAATTGCGCCTTTTACTTTCGTGTATCCAGCACGCTTGATCATTTGGAATGAAGCTGACTTGAAAGCCAGGCCATGCCAAATGGTCAACATGGGTCAAACCAAGACATGGAAAAGAGATCTGGGTACCTCAAGGGCCTTGGATCAAGGGTTGGGCTCAAATCGGGGGGGAGCGATAGTCAGTACGGTGTCAACCAAGTCAAGGACGATACCTCTCGCGGGTTCTGGACCATTGTTGGACCTGATGGTGTTGTTAACACCGCCAATGCCCACATGCTACCTGCTGCTTCGCCGACTGGTCGTCGTAAGGCTGTTGACGCAAGTTCGAATGGGCGGCAAGATGGTCAGCAACACGGTACTAAGGGCCAACAAAAGGGACAACGGCCAAAGCAACCTGGCATGGAGCAACAACCGCGTAATCGCACGCAATCAAACAGCCAGCGGCCCACACCCAAGTTTGAAGGGTCCGTTTCTTTTCGCTTGACAAGCCACATCGTTATCTTCAACAACACTAACATGATTTTATAGGATACAAATAACTTTTGTGACCGTGACTGTCCGGCCTACAGTCTCCAAGGAGCCGGTCAGAGCGGGAACAAAGTCACCCAAAACAGTCACGACGACAGTCACTGTTGCTGGAGGTGTAAGTCAAAGCCCCGACCAGAAATGAGTCCATTTGGAGCCCAATGTGCTTGATACATCAAGTAGCTAATATCGATCCAACCTCAGAATCCTCAAAACTCTTCTCGGAAGTCAAACACTGGAGAAAAACCCACGCCCAATGCTAGTGGAAATGGAGTGAAGACAGTCCCTATTGACAAAACTGCGCTTCCGACAACAACTTACAGTTTGAATCCTCCGAAGCCTCCACCACCGGCACCGCCAAAACCAGAATCGAGTTCATCTTTGCCTCCCGTGCCAGCTCCGGTTACTTTGCCCAAACCCCCCCAACCAGCAGCACCAAAGCCTGATGCGCAAAAGGAAGGCGGCACCTCGCCGTCGTCAACTTCATCGTCGGCTCCTTCGAGTTCCTCGTCTGATTCGCAGGCACCGCCTCCTACAGCGCCATTAGATTCTGTCGTAGCTCCAGCAGCAACATCCCCTCTTGGAGTAGTTGCCCCTGCACAACCATCAGTCAATCTATCCGGACTCACTCTAAACAGCATAGTCGACCTTGGGAACCTACCGAAGCAGGCAGGGAACGCTCCAGCTCCCACTACTGTGGCCATCTAGGAACTGCAACGCCAACTAAAGCGTGTAGAATGTAAATAGGCGATACATAGCTGTGAATGAAGTTGATCGAAGGCTCTATTAGGTGACCTAGAACGTCACTACCAGAAGTGAATCATCGAGTTCCAGGTCAAGGTGAAAAGGCTATGGTGTCTCTTAGACTTGCCATACTGTATATGTGCATCATGAAATTCGTTGGCTTTAATCTCAAGCTTGCTGGCTTTGTGCTACTTGCATATCATGAAGCCGGCGTTTTGTCAGGTCCAGCTGCGCGAGCGGCTAATTTCAACTTCTTTGCCTGTCTCTTGCTGACAAACTGTCCATCTTCTTCCCCTTTCTTTCGTTTTTGGTTCTTTGCTTTATTGCCACTTCGCCCAGTGTCCGTTCCTGCACTTGTTTCATTGTCGCCCAAGGATGGCTTATTCGTATCGTTATCATCTGTCGACGCCGCTTGAATGACATTGATGACGCCACGGAAGCCATTCCGCTTCATTCCTTCGTTGACAACGATGCTTCGGGGGATAGATCGCAAGCCTTCGAGACCCTTCTCGTTCGCCAGGCCCCACACGTTCAGAAGATTGACCACATCTGCCGGGCCACGTAGACTAAGTCCTGTCTTGGCCTCGCTGCTAATCATGATGCCGCGTCCACGGGTGGCCCGAATGATGCTGGTTGCGTTGGAGATGAAGTTTGCGCGGCCGCGGTTGTCAGCGGCAAGAAGTTGGGCGTAACATATTTCGAAACGAACCCCACGGCTTACGGCAGCCATGCATGGTTTGGGGCGAAAGTGAAAGGGAAAGTACGTGGTAAGATCGAGGGAGATGATGGGAATGTCAAGAGTGAGACAAGCATTTTGAAATGCCTTTTCCGTCAACGGCCGAACGGCGAGAATATCATACGCGTTTGCGAGCGTTGGTAGGCGGTAATTCGAGGCGGCTGGGTCGTCGAGGGCAAGGGTGGCACGGTGCAGCAACGTAGGAAGTGTTCGCGAAGACGAGGACTCGAGCTCTGATGGGAAGGGCGATTTAGGATTCGCGGGTACTGGGAGCTCCAGCGTGTGGTTAAGGGCAACTGTGGAGTACCCAAGGGAAGAGGCGAGAGAGAGAGTTTGGAGGAGACGTTCAGAAGTTGTGGAAGGGGACCACGCAATGTTGAGGTCGTAGATCATCGTGAGTCGAAGTGCGGGATGGGTGAGGCTCGTGAACAGGCTTGGATAGATTAGCCTGGAGGCGGAGCACGTCAAGCCGCAGCGCGAGAATCAGATAAGACAGTGATGCAATCTGCCGCCAGTGGTGGTTGAATCCGTTCGGGCGGCCACTGGCTGTGGTTGTGGTCCGTTGGCAATCCCAAGCTTTTTTTCTCTTCCTATTTCTTCGTGAGCCACAAGAGGCGTTAGCTACCGAACAACAGATAAATGGGAGTGGGGCCGTTTTCCACGGAAGGTGGAGTCTATGCCTTGCGGGTGCTGGAACAAACATCCCCACAAATCCATTCTGCCACAGCTTCTCCAGCCCAGCGTGAATTGCTCGGCGGGCTCACTCTTTTTGCTAGGTGCGCTCACCCCCCTTAGTAGGTAAGTATTTATTATATTTAAACTTTTTTTATATATTTCTAAGAGATAATTTATAATAAAATATATTTATATATAATAAAATATATAATAATATATTATAATATAGCCTAATATCTAGGTACCTGGTAGTGCGTGAGCGCACCTAGCAAAAAGAGTGAGCCCGCCGAGCAATTCATAGCCCAGCGAGCAGGAGAGTGATGGTGCTGGCTACTTCCCTTTCGGGCTGATGTCACCCTGTTAGCTTGCTTGTGGGCACCGCCTGTTACGTGGGCCTTAGACCTTGTAACCTACATCATTCATTGTCCATCAACCATCAACGGGTGGCGTCACGCGTCATCACTCTATTATTCCTGCGCCCCGTCGCCTATCGAGTCACTAGTCTCCTTCTTCAACCCTCATCTTATTCATACTAGACACACCGATCTGTCATTGTGCTCTCGATACTGTCTCGGTACCGTCTCGCTTCCTCCTTTCGGCCTCGTTCCACAACCGGGCGTGCATTGTGCATCGTACTTCTTCCGCTTTTTTTTTTGTACAAAGCGAGCTACGTACCCCAATCGCTTTGGACCCGAGCATCCAACCGAGCCTCACCAACTCATTTCCTTGCTCAAGTGGAGTTGACCCTGGCTCCCTCTTCTGCAACAAGCTTGCTTGAGGCCTCTCGCTGCTATCCGTCTTCGCTAAGCCCCAATTGGCTTGTTCAAATCCTGTGACAAGGCTACAGCATTTTCGCCCTGTGGTCTCCGCTGCGAACCTCATTTTGACAACGAGTACGGTGTAGCTGGACGCGCAGTTCTTTGAAAGGCGTCCTCACGAGCGTTGCGTTGCAGTAGGCCGTGTCTAAACCGACAGACACTTTCATCACGTCCAGGACGACAGGAGCTGTTGCCGACCGACACTTGTTCAAAACTCAGATCAACCTGTTCTAACAAATCTCGTCGCCCTTCGCAAGCTCCCCCGACCACGTCAGCAGTCCACTCGCCATGTTCTTCTTCTTCATATGCGGTGAGCACACCTTCCGCAGTGAGATTCCTGGGTATGAGGGAATGGTGTGTCAATGCCACCATTGCGGAAACATGGCAGCCCACGTTGTCAAGAGCCGCCCATTCTTTACCTTCTGCTTCGTTGTAAGTGCCCGATCCTTGGTAGCTAGATTCAATCCATCTCACCCATACCTACCTGCCATGATTTCGTTGATGCCAGTTCGGCACATCTCGCCTTTAGTTGCAACGCGAGATTTTGTTCCCGTTTATCTCGAATCCATACTGTTCCAGTCTATTCCCCTTCGACCCTAGTCCACTCGAGAAGTTACGCATACTAATTTCGTCACTGCAGCCCATCATTCCTTTCACTATTTCAGGATACAAGGATGTTACATGCAACATCTGCCACTTTCAACAGCCCTTAGAGAATCGTCCGGATGTTATGGCCATGGCTAATCGTGGCGGCGGAGGTGGTAATCAAGGTGGCGGGCAACACGGCCCTCCTCCACCTCAAGGTGGACAGCAGCGATATGGCTGACAAATGAAGAAGTCCGAAATCCTTATGATCCTTGGCCTCCCCGTCTATAGCGATATGCACAACCTGCTTTACATGTCGTGAAGCCAGGTAGGAGTGTCGTCATGGTTGTATATATCTTTCCATTGTTGGTTATAGCATTCTTTTCCGGAGTCTCAGATTTGGAGTAGTTAAGAGAACGGACATATATGTTATTTTGTGGCGGGTAGCTTGGCGTTATATGGTGACCGCGCGAACTTGACTTTTCGTGTACATCTTATTGGGGTTGATTGAATCAGGAGAAGTACTCAGGATCAGGGGAACTCCTGGAGCTAAAGGAGATTTTGTATTGAACTAGAGTAATCATATCATTACCCGTTGTTTTCCTTGCCCCAACAGCCTGGATTTGTCTATTGATAACATTGGCCCTTTTTCTTATTTCCACTTGTGCATAGTCTTGCCTCTTTGGACAGCTCTGCTTATTATGTTATCGTGTTCGTTCCCAAGATACCCCTTGTGGTCGTTGTCACTTCTCAAACTCCACTCCGCCTATGGTCAATATCACAAATTCTGTCTTTATATCTCGATAACCCTTTCCTGAGAGAGGTCCTTGCTGAGGGGGCCTAGACTTGGTCCCATACTTCTGGCCCTGTTAAGATATGAACGTGGATTCGTAAGCAGACTTGCGTGTGCTTGAACTATCAAATGTCAAGTGGTGTCTGTTGTCGGGAATTTCCACGGTGTATAGTCAGCATGTTCGAGGATCACTGGCAAGGCCGTTGAAACGGCTCATTAATCCAAGCTATAGAAGCTACCGCGAAATTTCTTTTAAAACTGACACGGCAAGCTATGACATATCTTGTTGTTGTTAACTTCTGGACCATCTCGGGCATCAGAGAGACGTCCTCGTCATCGCTTCAACAGACATCATCACTACAGCATCGGGGGGCATTCGTGACCGAGGATGAAGTCAACGCCAGTCTTCAGCCACCCGTCATCTCCCCATCGCCTTCGTCGCCGCAGGCTACCGATGTGCGCTCGCCTTCCGCCTCATGGCCGTACAAGTCGACGACAAGTCGCCAGGACAGCCACAGATTCCAGGCGCACCGGCACCGTCCTTCTGCCGGAAGCAATACCACGTCGCTCCGGCAGCCTCCCTCCTCCAATCAGCCGCCCAGGTTTTCCGTCGAAGACCAAGCCTATCTTCGGGGCCGGCTGCCCTTGCGGCAACGTGTATCTGATCAGACCGTCATCAACCACTTTCGTCGTTTGCCGCTTCTGTATCAGGACCTGGCTGAGGGGTGTCGCGCACATCTGTCCCATTTACCACCCGGAGCCCAAGAGCTGGAGAAGCGTCAGCGAATGGCAGAGCTGGCGCAGCGACTAGCGGACAGGTACATGCGGTTTAGACTCATACTCCCCCGGTCGTACATTGTTGTGACTCTGGCGAGATGGCAGGGAGAGTTGTCGCATACCAGCCGGTTCTGGGAAAAGACCCTGGAGGAGATTGAAGTAAGTGGTGCCTCCTGTTTGAGTCTTCTGAAGCAAACTTTGAAACTTTGTATACATGAGGCTAAAGGCCACTCAGAAAGCCAACAATTCATGGTCCATAGCTCGCCTTTGGATCCTCCGTTTTACGGTTCAGTCTTCTCTCGTTGCCGTGGCATACAACATGCTGCCTACACCGGGTAAAGTTGTTATACTCATCGCAAACTGTCTTGCATGCGTGTGGTCTACGACCGCCATGTGCGAGACGCTACATGCGCAGTACATCGAGATGAAGTCAGATGAGCAAAGGTTACACGATCTGCTTGGCGGACTGCGTGGTTGATAGTTCTGGCCACTCATTATTTCTTGGAAACGACAGGCCAGGGTACTAAATCATTTATCCTCTTATTGCACTTCTTAACATGTCTTTTTTTTGTGTGTGTGTGTGTTACTATTGATTCATAGCATCACGGTCAGATATAATATCAGCTCCTCGTCGGTGATTTAATCAGGGGCTTCATTCGCTAAAACAATGCATATATGCTTCATGAATATTCGTTGCTGGGTATCCTGATTTATCCGTCTAGAATTGGAAAGAACCAAATCCAATCACTTTCCCTCTGTTGCTTCATCGCAAGCTCTGGATGCTGACCTTGATCTTGATCTTGATCCTGACCCTGAAGGGCCGGCGCAATCGCCTCTGTGCAATTTCAAGCTCTCTTCCAAAGCTCGCTTTAGTTCCTCGTCTTCGCTATCGGTTTCTGCTGCTGCTGCTTTTCCTTTCCCTTTGTTCAGCTGACTATGGAATTCTGCCTCAGCCAAGCTTTGCTTCTTTACATATTCCAAGACAATGTCCTCCTCAGTTCGTTGGTTGTGCTCGCGAGCCATATCCTGTTTCGATGCTTCAATAGCTCGCTGAAGCTCTTCCTCGTCATCAAATGATGGAGGAGTCGGCACATTCTTTGATTCTTCTATGGCTCGTTGAAGATCGGCATCATGTTCGTCTGCTTGTGCAGTGCCACTACCCTGGGCACTGTGTATCTCCGTAGTAAATGCGTCCAGTTCTGATATGCCAGTTTCTTGAGGGTGGAACAAATCCTCTATATGGCTTGCCAGACTTTGCTGGATGGCCTGTTCTACAAGCGACTGGTATTCTTCGTCTGTAATCTGGTACTCCTCGTCCTCGAATATGCTGAGGTCCTTTTCTGGAATTTCTTCAGAGGCCTCCGGTAACGTCTCTAGTAGCGCCCCTCTTGCACGCATGGCTCTGATGCTTTCCCGAATAGCTGCCTCGATCATCGCATCTTCTTCGATATTGCCTCTAGATGTTTCCCGAACCGAGGTTTGGATTGCTTGTTCGAACTCAGCATCATCTGATGAGCTTGGCCGGGCACTAGAAGAGCTGCTTGATGGAGGCACAGGCGCGTCGACGAAGCCTCTCTTTTGCGTCTGCAGCCTCTTTCTTTCTTCTGCAGACATTCCGCGAGTGTGAAGCCAGCTTGTCTTAGGTCGAGAGAATGGTAAGTCTGATTGCGTGGACTGTTCTGATCCTGCTGGTGCCTTCTCGGCTGTCTTTTCCTTTCGCTTCAACATATAATAGTTCTTCAGATCCCATTTCGAATTGTTCCACCGAATAATAATGTCAGACTTTTCCTCCTCGCTTGCTCTGGTCAGATCTTGCGTCCCCTGGACAACCCTAGAAGTAATGATGTAGTTTTGGACGCTCTTCGTAAACATTTTGTTGACCTCCGCGTGGACGCCTTGCATCATATAGGCTGGAACACCCCATATTCCTTTACCATGTCAGTAAAATTCGGGCTCAGTTAAATCAAAGTGTTAGACCATGAGGAACTTACCAGCAGCAGGCTTAGCAATAAGGCCTCCAATGCCCTTTCCGATACCCTTGACGAATCCACCGGGTCCTTCCTTTTCAGCTCCTCGAATTGGTTGCGTAACCAAACCTGCAATGCCATCGAAGAAGCCATATCCAAGCTCTTTGCCAGCAATCTTGATACCACTATTGAGGTCGGTGACTTTCTCTATGGGTCGGACAGTATCGTCATTGTAGAGTCTCGGAATATTCCTGAATCCCTTAGCCAGTCCCAAACAGAAATTCATCGGACTCTTCACGCCTGTAGACACAGCACGGCCTACACTTCGTCCAGCTCCAACGGTGGCATCCAGACTTATCCCCAGAGGCGACGGGTCTCTACGAGATAACGTTTGTCTTAGCTGATCACTGGATGCTCGGGCCCTAAGTCCAGTCCTGGAAGGTGTTCTAGAGCTTCCGCTTTCTGCATCTCCTCCAGATCTAGCTACAGACCTCGGTTCCACGAGAGATTGTGATGCGGAAGATAGTTCGGTGAGCGATCGATTGGAATCAGCAGTTGGAACTCTTGACTCTTCTTGACCTTCTCTTTCCCGAGAGGTAGTACTAAACAAGTCAGTAGTAGACTCGTTCTGGGATATCGCGTCCGTTGTAGCTAGTGTGAGTTTGCTAGACGAGCCTAGTAAGGTTGATGTCTCTGAGCTTTGACCATCCTTGGGACGTCGAGATTTGAATAATTCCCGAGGAACATCTGCGATAGCCATGCCAATTCCACTCAGGTCGCCGATGAGCGAAGCAGCGCCAGCCGAAACGGGGTCAGGTGGCTGATCTTCTGTATTGTACTCGACAGGTCGATACCTGTGGTGAATTTGAGTCAGCTGTTTGTTTTCGGATGAATTCCAGGACGCAATAATTACTTACAACTTCAAATCTTTGTACTCTATCAGACCTGCATCTATCAGCACCGACGCTGCCAGCGGCGACAAGCGTACCTTGGTTCTTCTGACTCGCCAAGCGGCAGTTCGGCTGGGTGCTACCGAGCACCGCAGAGAATCGATATCGAGGTGCTTATGGAAGCTCTTTGCACCAACATCTGTTCCAGCTTCCTCTCGGATTTTGTGTCCCAGCTCTTTTGCCCTCTCTTGGGTATCGGTCTCAAGGCAGAACTTGATGGCTTCAGCCAATTTTTCTGCAGTGAGATCTTTATGACGAATTGGCTCCGGCCCAGCCTTCGCCCTTGCAATCATGGCTCCCCAAAATGGCTGGTCTCCAAAAAAAGGTACAACAATCGTAGGTTTTCCAGCCTTGATACCAGCCGCAGTCGTTCCAGCTCCGCCGTGATGTACAACAGCCGAGACATGCTCAAAAAGCCAATCATGCGGCACATTGCCCAGCATGAACACACCTTCAGGAAGACCAACATCATCTGCGCCCAAACCACCCCAGCCCTTCGATACTAATGCCCGAACACCGGCGAGATGAATTGCGTCAAATATCATTCTAGTCATGGCATTTGGGTCATCCACGACTATGGACCCAAATCCAATATAAACCGGGGGTGGGCCGGCTTCAAGGAATGCGGCGAGCTCTGGGTCCGGTATATAGGACGACGCTAGATTAAGAAAGTAAAAGCCCGAAATGTCGATATGCCTCCCCCAATCATTCGGTTTTGGTATCAGCGCTGGGGACCTGTTCAATAAAACTTCAG